AATTTTAATATAATTAATGTAATATAATGAAATGCGATTTCTTTATATCAGATAAATCGGACTTCAAACTAATTTAAGCAATCATATTTGTAAAACTAACTGATGGCTATATATACTCAGCAAACTGATATTTGATCTGTTCAAACTGAACTTCCACGTTGGAGAGAAAAAAGGAAAGATGAACAGGAAGTTCAGCTGAAAAGAAAAAGAGATTACCATCAATTGCTGGGATGTAAAATATGAGTTTAATTGTGCTTAATTGCAGCACTAATATTCTTCTTCTTACTTATTTATTATATTTTTAACTTTTATTTTTTATATAGCAGTTATTATTAGTTTGTTATAAAAGTTGAGCGAAAGGAATTAAAATTAATTTAATATTCACCTGTATATCTCAATAAAATTTCAACAGATTGCGACCTTTATATCAGAAAAATCAGACTTCAAGTTAAACAATAAATGATTTATAAAACATGCTATTTATATAAAACATGAATCTATTTACGCTATTAGAGCACTATTCTACTTCTTTTTAATTATTTATTAATTTTTTAATTTTTATATTTTACAGCAGTTATTATTTCATCACAAAAGTCGAACGAAGGAAAAAATTTAATCGTGCCAATATTAAAGTATTATTAAATTAATTTTACGTTCATTTCGATATATTTTTAATTTTATGATTGTTATCTTTAATTTTTATATTTGAGTTCAATATAATTTCCAGATTGAGAAAAAAATTGTAATTGATCTAAATCTTTTATTTATTTAAATGAGTTTCTATCTAACCAGTCACTTCTGTAAACAGACTTTTGCTGCGACGATTTTTAATCGATGTATTATATATATTTTCTATAGTTTTTTCAATAGGCTTAATAATATCATCAATTTCAGATACATGGAAATGAGTTGCAGAAGAATTTTGTTGTTTTATCATTGATTTTGGCGAAACTGTATTTTCATTAAGATTTTCTTTAGCTTTGTTGCATAATTTTTTATTTGCTATCCTTATCGATTTTATATCCTTTTTCAATTTATTTTTATTATATCTTGTCCAGCAGCGTTCGAAATTCATGAGAACGTCTTTCCAGATGCACAACTCTTCCACTGGAAAATAAAATTACAGTTGATGAATTGTTCAATTTAATTATAAATTGTAAATTCAGATTAGTAAATTATTTTTTAAATATTCGCCAATCTAAACTTTTGTACTATCACAAACAATGGAAAAAAATTTGAACGTAGTATTTTATACTTTCTATTAAAAAGTATAATGTTGCATTAATATTAGTAATATATTTATGTTTTATAATGTCATAAAAATGAATCTCGATATCAAAAACGCACATTTAATCAAATTTTTAGATTTTATGAAGCATTTATAAATTGGAACTGACTTCTTGTCAAATTTATGAATAAAGCTTATCTTTAATCTTAATTATATCATTTTAAATGTCTTACCATACAAAAGTAGTGTTATAAACATAAATAATCCCGTAGGCAAGTTTGCATTGGGTAACACAGTGTATGCCAATCCGAAAAGAGCTGGCCCTTCGTGAAAAATCATCCCTTCAATAGTATTGACAAGCCATGGCAAATAAAGATACGGAATTCCATATATGTCGCCAATTGTTAGCATTGTTGTAGATATCAATGCTGCAAGCAGGTCTCCTATCATTATCTTAATCCTCAAATCTGCATTTAACAAGAAATTATTTTCTAAGCATTGTTATTTCATGCTCATGTTAATTAATCTTGTCAGACTGAAGCTTAGTTACTATAATTTCGGCGGAATATATTATTAAAAACCGCAGGTCTTGTTGAAATAGAGCGAAGTAAATTGCGAGAACCAGCTTCCAGAGCGATTGAGCTTAAACAATTAGTAGCAAAATACATTATGCCTAAGTATAGCATCTTGATCTGAAATAAATATAAAGAATAAGAAATACGTATTTTAACTGTTAACCAATCAATAATCAACAATTAATTAATTATTTAAACTAAATGTCAAAAATGTAGATTATTTTTGTATTCTATAATAACTGTCTTAATTATAATTTTAGTTGAATAACAAAATGTAAAAATTTTGGGAAAATAATAAATTGGTGAATTATTATTTTTAACTATCAAGTGAAACTAGAACTGAAAGAACTGGCCACTTATTTAATAAGAATTAATGGAAAACCAATTATACATATATATTTACCTTGGAATTTCTTATTTCATCTTTAATTTTTGTGTCTGAAATCGATATTCCCGAATTGAGAATCATGATTAATTTAAATTTTTTGTTAAATTTCTCAAAAATTTCTTTAGTTATTATTGCATTGATTGCTTAATGTTAGCTATTTGATTGGTTATAGATCATTATACATGTATCATCCATAATTTGTCCGAAAGTTTAATGACACAAACAAAAGACAGAGCAAACAATAATTATCTAGCTTCAGCCATATTTTTTTATGTTTTTTCTACATGTTTCTTCTTGATTTACATTTATTATATTTTATATACGTTCGAGTTTCTAAAATAAAAATATCATATTTTTTATTTATACGAAAATGTAATATATTGTGTGTGTAATAAATAAAATAAATGTAATATATTGTAACAAATAAACTACTTACTTTCTCACTTTCACTTTTTTACATATTGCATATTATATTCGAATTTCATTTATAATTCTTATCTCCATCTTCTTTAAAATTAAAACTTAAAAGAGTCGTATTTCTGTCTGGTTTTATTTGATATCTTATTTTATTTAGTATTGAGATTTATAAAATAAAAGATACATATACATATGATAATTATATCAAGCAATTTCGAATAACACTTAA